TTCTTTCTTTCTTTCTTTCTTCTTTCTCTTTCTTTTTTTCTTTCTTTCTTCCCTCCCTCCCTCCCTCTTTCTTTCTTTCTTTCTTTCCTTCCTCCCTCCCTCCCTCCCTCTCTCATTCCCCTTCCCTCCCTCCCTCATTCTCCTTCCTTCCTTCCCTCTCTCCCTCTTTTTTCTTCCTTCCTTCTTTCTTTCCTTCTTTCCTTCTTTCCTTCTTTCTTTCTTTCTTTCCTCCCTCCCTCCTTCTCCTTCCTTCCTTCCTTCCTTCCTTCCTTCCTTCCTTCCTTCCTTCCTTCCTTCCTTCCTTCCTTCCTTCCTTCCTTCCTTCCTTCCTTCCTTCCTTTCTTCCTTCCTTCCATCCATCCATCCATCCATCCATCCCTGGGAGTGGGGTGGCTTATAAATTTCAATCTTCATCAACATCTCCTGAAACCTTTTGACTTCCACAGAACCCAGTTTGAAAACCCTGGTCTAGAGTTCCCTTATACTCCCAATTCCCTTACGAGACAAGCTGGCAGTGAATAAAACCGCTTCTAGGTGAAACCCTTTGATGATTACCAGCTGAGTACCGTGCCTATGTCCTCCCAAGATGTAACTTTCTGCAATTCAGGCTTATTTTGAAGTAATCGTCACGCATTTCCTTAACATCAAGGATGGGCTTTAAAAAAAAAAAAGAGAGAGACCAGCATAATTATTGTGAGCTGCCCAAGTCATTTGGAGACGGGCAGCATCAAACTGAATGAATGAATGAATAAAATACAGAAAATTCATAGCAAATGCTCTTCTCTGTGTGTGTTTCATTTGCTTTAGTATCTTTTTTTTGTCTCCTCAGGACCTGCTGATGCAGTCAACATGTCTCTTGGTTTATCTGTTTCGGCCCGTGAGTCTGAAGTGCTGGTAAGGTGGGGTCTTTGTTATTAAGTTGGTAGCAATGAGATGGGCAACTGTGTAGCCGGTGTCAGCACTGCTGACCTTAGGAGGTTTCAAAAAAAGCTAACTGCAGGATTCTGGGTCCTTGGGAGGAGAATATTTATTTATTTATTTATTTATTTATTTATTTATTTATTTATTTATTCATTCATTCATTCATTCATTCATTCATTCATTCATTCATTCACTCACTCACTCACTGACTCACTCACTCACTCACTTATTTATTTATTTATTTGTTTATTTATTTATTTATTTGCTGCCCATCTCGTATCCAAAAGACTCTGCTTGACGGTAAAGGGAGGTGACACTTTAGACTTGCAAAATTCTGCCACTGTAATCTTATAATAAAAATAGCATTGGTTAGTGTGCCTTTGGTATTCAGGTTTGGTCTGTCTTGGAGAACTGACATCAGTCTTGCAAGTCTGAAGGTACTCCCTCCCCTCCCCCCTTTATCTTCATGAAAACTATGGAGGGTCTTTCCCAGGTTACAGTTGTAGCCCAGATTCAGATTTCTCTTGCCAGCCTGTGGACTTGTTGCATTTTTTCTTTTGGTTCTTCAAGGTCATTCCTTCTTCCCATTACATTGACTCAGCACTGGTGTGCTTGAATTTTTTGATCAGGAGGCCTGTGGCTCCATCCATCTATCTATCTATCCAGTGCTTTTTTTCTTTAAAAAAAAAAAAGGTGCTGGAACTCACACACGTCATACAACCCGCCTTGCCTACCCTACAAGGTTCCATCCAAAAAAGGTGCTGGAACTCCGTTCTGGGCGTTCTATGAGAAAAAAAGCCCTCTATCTATCTATCTATCTATCTATCTATCTATCTATCTATCTATCTATCTATCTATCTATCTATCTATCTATCTATCTATCTATCTATCTATCTATCTATCATCTATCTATCTATCTATCTATCTATCTATCCATCCATCCATCCATCCATCCATCCATCCATCCTTCATATCTATCTCTGTCAAATTTAAAAACTGCCCATCTCCCTCATGGAGCGACTCTGGAGTGGTGTTCAAGTAAAATATAAGAACATAAAAGCTGCGTATAGATATTATATTAGGAGGCAATTAAACCAGGAATAAAACAATTAAAATTAAAAGTTAAAACAAGACAAAACAATTTAAGTGTGCCTGGTTTTCCGGGCCTGGTCACTGTAAATGTCTCTCCTTGCCCTCACAGGTCTGTGGGCCCAGAGTGCACCAACCATGTGGGGAATACATATATCTGAAAGGTTACTGCTTCCTCTTGGACCAAAATTTGAGACAGATTCAGCGCTTTCCTGATCAACTGCCAGGTGAGATCTAGATGCAGGAAAAATAAAACTGCAAATGTTAGAGATCAGCTATGGGAAAATACAATTTCAAATCAGGTAAACCTATCTTATAACTCAGGCATGTCAAACTCGTGACGTCACATGACGTCGCACAACGTATTGGGCCGGTTTTGGCATTGCTGGCAATGGGGTGGGCACGGCTTCCACGTGATGCGTCCGGCCTACGGGCCGGCAGTTTGACACCCCTGTTATAACTCATGGGTTTTCCATAGTCTTATGACCAGTTGCTTAACAACCATTTGAAGTTACAATGGACCTCTCCAGAGCTAAGTGTAACCCATTTTTGAAGTTACAACAGCCACAGACACACATCACATGATCATTTGATCCCATTTGGGGTATTTGGCAACTGGCACACCTTTACAGTCATTTCCGCTGTCACAGTCATGTGACTACAATCTGTGACTTTTTTTTAGAACAGAACAGAACAGAACAGAATAGAATAGAATTTTTGCTGGTATCCAGTATTTACTTCCAGTTTCTCATCAAAAATGCCCATTGAAGAAAATGAATTCACTTAACAACCATTGTGTTTGCATAAGAACTGTCATTAAAATGGTAGTAATTTTGAATCTGGTCATGTGATGCCTCAATCGATGTTCGCAATGACTTACAATCAAAATTCCAGGCTCAATTATGGTCATAAATTGGGAACTATCTGTACTCTCCAGATGCACTGACTCTTCTGAAATAAGCGTGTGCGGTACTCTTGCAGAGTTTTACACACACAAGGATGAAGATCAGCTCATTTCAAAGAAGAACATGGGACAATTAAATGTCAGTCATCCTACCTCACATGCATGCAAACACAAACAATAATGAATCAAGTTTAGAAAGCGATTCATTTTTTTTACAGAATGAAAATTGTATATGTTATTTTATTTATTTTGTCACCTGCTTGACTATGTGCTATTCTTTTTTTTTATTTTCTTCTCTGTTGGCCTTGCTTTTTATAGAATGTAGCAGACGCCCTGCTGACATCGTTTTTCTGATTGACGGTTCAGGAAGCATAAAAAATTATCAATTCTTAGAAATGAAGACTTTTATTTTTCAGGTCATGAATCGTTTCCAAAATACAAACACTCAGGTAATGTTAAGAGATCAGACTCTGGATGAAACGGTAATATTCAGAATGAAAATGTTGAGTCCCTCGCTAAAATCTGCAGTAGTATATAACAGGGCTTTTCAAGCAGTGGTACGGGTACCACCTGTGGTACATTGGCACCTGGCAGGTGGTACGCGACCATCCTAGAAAAGTGGTAGCGGGGGAGGGGAATGAGCTGAACTGGTGGCAGCACCGCACAAGCCTGAGCGAGAGATGGCTGGAGCTGCAGGGCTGTCAGGGCTCAGCGGAAGCGCCAGGATCAGCGCTTCTTCGGGACTGTCAGGGCTCAGTGGAAGCACCAGGATCAGCGCCAGCCTCCAGCTGGAGCTCGGCACAGATCCTGGCGCTTCTGCTGAGCCCAGAAGAAGCGCCGATCAGCTGGAATGTTGCAGCATCTCCACGGTCTTGTGATTTACATTCAGATGCTTGGCAACTGATTCATATTTATGACGGTCACAGTGTCCCAGGGTCACGTGAAGTGACTAAAACCTGCTGCAACCACCCAGCAGACAGGGGGAATAAAAACCAAACACCCCCACCCCACCCCCACTGCCAATCCTCAACAGAAATGCTCACAACAATGAAAACCTCGGACAGGAGGAAGAGCGCGGCCGGTTGGGCAGGCAGGTGTCTTGCTCGGCTGTGGCTTGGGGGGCACTTTTTCAGTGCCATTGTAACTTCGAACAGTCACTAAGCGAACTGTTGTAAGTCGAGGACTATCTGTACTTTATCACTTTTTCCTTTTTTGGGGGGGGGGTCATCAAGTTTTTGACACCTTGCTAGGCGACTGGTGGTACTCGGATATTGCCATATCCTAAAAGTGGTACAATGGGTGAAAAGGTTGAAAAGCCCTGGTATATAATCATTATTCATTTTTTTACCATGCTAAAAATATGCTTTTTTCTAGTTAGGAGCCCTTTGATATTCAGTTTACGGCAGTTGCCATATTGTGTTTGCTATTCTCTTATAATGTGTACGTATGTTTAGTTTGTATGTTTTTATTGTTTTTTTATTGTTTTAAATTTATTTAGAATTTTGATTGTAATACAGGTAGTCCTCAACTTACAGCAGTTCATTTAGTGACCATTTCAAGTTACTTGTGACTTGTGACCATTTTTCACGCTTACGACTATTGCAGCACCCCCATGGTCATATGATCCAAATTCAGACGCTTGGCAACTGATTCATATTTATGACGGTTGCAGTGTCCCGGGATCATGTAATCATCTTTGCAACCTCCTGACAAGCAAAGTCAATGGGGAAGCCAGATTCATTGAACAACCGTGTTACTAACTTAACAACTGCAGTGATTCACTTAACAACATCAAATGAACAAAACTCACTTAATAAATGTCTCGCTTAGCAACAGAAATTTGGGCTCAGTTGTGGTTGTAAGTTGAGGACTATCTCTCTATATTTTTTTAATTGTAAGTTGCCCAGAATTATTGACTGAGATGGGTAGCTATAGAAAATGAATGAATGAATGAATGAATGAACGAACGAACAAACGAATGAATGAATGAATGAATGAATAAACAAATGTGATCAGGTCACTTAGATTTGTCCCAAACTGGATTCTGGCTTTCAGGCAGGTCCTTTGAGGATAATGAAGCCTTAGTCTGCTGGGGGTGGGGACAGTGGTGGCAGGGGGTGTGGTCATAAATGTGGGTGGGGCTGAATTTTGTTCAGGGGGCACTGCTACCTCTCCTCCATTGTTTCTAGCTGCCCCATTAGGTCCAACAGGCTAATCTTGCTGTGGGTTCCCTCAATTAAAGAATGTCATCCTGGGGCCTTTTTGGTTGCTGTGCCTCCATTTTGAAACAACATAATCCCAGAGATTAGATTGGCCTCAACCCTGCCATTTTCCCCAGAAGCTTTGAAGATCTAGATCAGGGGTAGGCAACCTTGGCTTTTATGACTCGTGGACTTCAACTCCCAGAATTCCTGAGTCAGCATAGCTAACTCAGGAATTCTGGGAGTTGAAGTCCACGAGTCATAAAAGAGCCAAGGTTGCCTACCCCTGATCTAGATGTACCCCTGATCTAGATGTGGTGGTAAAGTTAGTTAGATCATGGGGGGTGGGTTTGTTCCTAATTTATTAGATTATATTTTTCCTTGGTGGTCCTTACAGACTTTTTTTTTTACATTGCCTGGGGTTTTGCTGCTATTTTCTATTTTTTTTCAGTACATTGTTATTTTATTCACAAAATTAAAATAACAAACTCAAAAAAGGAGGAAAAGCAAAAACAAAGCAAAGCTAAAGAAGACATAAAAATGTTCATAAAAACACATAACACATAGATTGTCCCCGCTAGTTGAATACTGATAATTTCAATAATAATTCTCCCCTTTGCAAAATAGGTTCACAGTTTATTAACTTCCACAACTCTGTTTACCCAAGCAATTTGACATCCAGATGTTTTAATGTGTCATTAAACACACAGTACTATAGCCAGGTTGACAACCATATAAATTATCAAATAAAAGATTTTTTTTTTAAGGGGGATAATTATTTCCTTTCTTCTTCTTTCTTTCTCTCTCTTCCTTTCTCTAGTTTGGCTTGTCCCAGTACTCAGGTAGTTATCAAGAACACTTTGACTTTCTCACTTTCAAAGCTACCCCAAATCCGGGTGACTTGATTAGACCAATCAGGCAGCTGTATGGAGCTACTCACACGGCTACATATATCCAGAAAGTGGTGTAAGTATTCATTGGTTGGTTCTTTTTAATTTAACACAACATGCTGGTGTTTACTTTAGCTGCTTAATCCAGAATGCTCATTTTTACTTGCATTTAAAAGAGGATCCATGCAGGGTGTGGTTAAAAAAGAAAACAGTTGTATGATGACAACTGCTATCCTGATTTTGCGAATCAAACCTTGCAGATTTTTTTTAAATCAAATTCTTCCAGTTTCCTGGGTTTTGGACCTCAATTCAAGTTATTTTACCGCAACTTTAAAAATGCAATTGCACCATCATTTATGATACAGGAATGAATTTAAAGGTAGCTTTCACAATCTGCTTTCACAATCTGTTAAAGGTAGCTTTAACAATACTGGACCAGTAAAGGAATGAAATAATTTAATTTGCATTTCCTAGGAATATGTAGAGATAAGCTGACCAGCTTGGATAGATTGAACTAGATTTAATAATAATAATAATAATAATAATAATAATAATAATAATAATAATAATAATAATAATAATAATAATAATAATAATAATAATAATAATAATAAAAAAAAGTTGGAAGGGACCTTGGAGGTCATCGAGTCCAACCCCCTGCTCAGGCAGGAAACCCTATAAGATTTTTACTTTTTTCTTTACGGGGCATTCATCTTTAGATCGTGTTTTCAGAAATTGCCAAGGAAAGAAGAAAGGCAGAGGTTTAACATATTACTATTGATCTTGTTTTTTCTTTAGGCGTGAAATGTTTCTCCCCAATAAAGGAGCCCGCAGTGATGCATCTAAAATTCTCATTGTGATAACTGATGGAGAAAAATCAGGAGATAACCTAGAATACAGTGATGTGATTCCAGAAGCACAAAGGGCTAACATTATCCGCTTTGCCATTGGGGTGAGAACATTAGCAGAACATTATAGATAGTCCTCGTTTAATGACTGGTCACTTAGGAATTTGGAATTATGATGGACTCCCCAAAAGCAACTTAGGACCCGCTTCTGCAATTTGAACAGCTGCACAACACGTATCTTATAGTCCCATGATTGCATTTTGGGTGTTTGATAACTAACTCACCTTTACGGACAGTTGCAGCATTCTGTTGTCAGTGACTACAGTTTATGACATTTATTTTTTTTTACCAATTTCCAGCCTTTCAAGCTGGTCTCCAGAAAGAAATGCTGATATGAATATATTGATTCAATTAATGACCACGGCATTTGCGGAACGACCAGTGCAAAAAAAAAAAAAGTCATAAAATCAGGTCTAGTCATGTGGGTGCTTCCACTTATTACCATCATGATTTACAGCGGAAATTCCAGGCTCTGTTGTGGTCATAAGTCAAGGACTACCTGTATAAGGAAATCAGAACATGCAATTTTCTTCTGATTGTTCCGGTATATCAGTGGTTCTCAACCTTTTTAATGCCACGACCCCCAACCGGTCGTAAGTCGAGGACTAAACCGGTTGTAAGTCGAGGACTAAACCGGTTGTAAGTCGAGGACTAAACCAGTCGTAAGTCGAGGACTTTCCCTGCCCGGGAGCGCCGCGCATGTGTGGCTCCGCCCCCTGCGCCGGCCGAGGCATAGCTAGCAAGCGGCAGAGACGAGCAGGCCGACCACCAACTGGCCCAGCCCAAGGGAGGTAAGGCACCCGCCGGAAAAGGGGAAAAAAATGGCGGACAAAAAAAAATGGCGGACAGCCTTGCTTGGCGACCCCCGTGAAATGGTCAATCAACCCCAAATGGGGTCGCGACCCATAGGTTGAGAACCGCTGCGATATATAGAGCTGCCAGTCAATACGAACAGATGGTAAAGAGGGAATTGTATTGTTCCCTCTCACTCTAGCAACAAAAGGCAACTCTCCAAAATGTGTTGCCATGATTCCTTTACAAATGCAGGGAAAGACAACTAATATGCAGAATCCTTACTGGGGGTAGAGTAACTATGGTAGTAGCAGTAGTAAAGTCTCTGTTTTTGTCTCCCCTCGCCATTTCTGGCATGCCCTGAAGGTTGGGCTGGCTTTCTCAAAAGGACCTGCTCGTCAAGAACTCATTACTATTGCCTCAGAACCCGCTATGGACTATGTTTTCTCCGTGGACAACTTTGATGCCCTCAAGGACATCCAGAACAATCTTCAGAATAAAATTTTTGCCATAGAAGGTATCACATCTGATGGTTTGCCTAGCGCAGTGATGGCGAACCTTTGAGAGACCCGAGTGCCCAAACTGCAACCCAAAACCCACTTATTTATCGCCGGGGGCCAGGTGGGCGTGGCTCACTGGGTGGGCGTGGCTGCGGTGGTCATGGCAGATTGGTTGGGTGTGGCCAAGGTGGGTGTGGTCACCTTGATGTTGCTCATGGGGAGGGACGCCTGTGGGGGCCAGGCAGGGTTGGGGGAGATCCAGGGGGTCTCCGGCAGGTGGGGCAGTGGGCAGGAGGCTTGTCCTGTGGGGTGAGGCGAGGCAAGGCGGGGGTGCCATTGTCACAGGGCAAGGTGAGGCAGGGGCCGGGGCGGCTGCTGCCTGACACCATCAGCCCCTGCACACAGAGGCCAGCGAGCGTATGGGTGCTGGGATGCATCTGGCCATGTGGGACCTCAGCGAGTTAGCAGGTGGCTGGTTGAAGAGGGATGGTTGCCATCTCCGGGGCATGGCATGTGTGCCCACAGAGAGGGCTCTGAGTGCCGCCTCTGGCACGCGTGCCATAGGTTCGCCACCACTGCCCTAGAAATAACGCTAGGATTTGGAGCTCAAAATGGATTCCCACCCTAGTCAAAATGCCAAAGAGAGTCATGATGACTGTTAGATTCTTGATCCAGATACTTCAGCTGCCATGAGGATTGACTTTTGTGAGCAACTTTCGGCAGTAGAGGCAGTCCTTAATTTATAACTGGTCTCTTAACAATCGTTCAAAGTTACAAAGGACTCAGAAAAAGTTACTTATGACCAGTCCTCAAAGTTATGACTGCTGCACCACTCCTGGGGTCATGGGATCACCTTTTGGGTGCTTGCCAGTCTGTTTGCATTTACAACTGATTGCCAAGCACCCCACAATCATGTCATCATCATTTACAATCTTCTCTGCCGGCTTCCCCGGAAAGTCAATGGGGAAGCCGGCAGGAAAGTTTGCAAGATACTGCTGCTTGCCAAAGGATTTCTTCTCTCCCTAGTGCCTAGGGGGAAGATTCCTGTGGTGGGATGGAGAAACAAAACTGGGATCCCAAAGATCCCAGCTTTGTTTCTCCGACCCAGTGTTGGTGTTCCCTTTTGCACACGGAGGGGAGGGGAACTCCTGCGGTGGGATAGAGAAATGAAGCTGGGTTCATAAAGATTCCAGCCTCATTTCTCCAGCCTACCATGGGAATTCCCTTACACACACAGACAGGGGCTGCCATCGTTTCAGTCTTTCAGTCCCTCAATTTAACAACCCATGCAGCCGCTTAATGACTGCAAATGAGAACACCAGCAGTCCAGTCGTTGAGCAAAGTGGTCATGTGGGCATCTCACTTGTTGACCCCCAATGACTTATGACCAAAATTCCAACTTCAGTTGCAGTCATAAGTCAAGGAGTACCAGTATACGGATGAGCATAGGTCTATTGATGGGTAGGGACATAGGTTGGACTATCTATCTATCTATCTATCTATCTATCTATCTATCTATCTATCTATCTATCTATCTATCTATCTATCTATCTATCTATCTATCTAT